AATGATCCTGAAATTTTTCTATAACAGCATTAAAACTCTCCTCATGAGAATCATTTGTAAGAGCAAAAATGTTATTCAGAAAAGGGCTCTGTTTCATCAATGAATCAGTGGAAGCTTTTATTTGTGCTCTCATTGCAGGCTTAGGGACAATAAAGAAGACTAGATAAGGGACAGAATACATTTAACTGCAATTACTGAAAAAAAGAGCTGTTAAAAGGTATATAGTTAAAACCTAATCTTACCTTTGCTCAATCAGATCTGGTGAATAGTCAGATATCCAGTACACTATCTATTATGCACTTAGATGAGTTTCACGCACATTCAAGAAATCATCATAACCATAACAATACACATTGTAATAACAACAGATTAACTCCTTTAAATAGTGCGAGTCAAAAATCAACACTTAGGAAGATACTGCCAAGCATCATGTGCCAATAATAGAAATCTGTGCCTAAAGTGTAACTAAAACACAGAAGTAATTTACATGTCCAGCTAAGAAATGTAAATATCATAAATATAGACCTTTTGCCTGTGTTTGCCAATTTGGATGGCACTTTGCGTGAAAATTACTGCACCTGCCACAGGTGAAGACCACTACCTAAATATGGGATTAAATGTCTAACAGGATTATAAAAACTTTCCATTATGGCCATTATTTCAGCATTGTAGCATGTCCTTATCATCCATGGAATCTATCCTCAAATTCAAAATTAAGGTGGGTTTATGGCTGAAGTTAAGTGTAAAGGAGAAATGTATCAACTCTGTATTTACATGATCTCAGGTCCTAGCAGTCAAATGTAAGCTTTATGAAATGCCAACCTTTAACGATGTTGCTCATAAACTACTAGGATATCATTTCATTTTGTAGTTGGATGAATACTGTGAATTTCTCTAGATTCTATTACATCCTCATAGTCCTTCTATACAGTGTTGCAAGTAACAGTAGTGACATCTTAAAGGTAAAGCTGCTTATAATTGCATTTATAACTCCTACCACAGAGTACAACCAATCCCGGACCTTCTTCCTTTAAACCATGTTTAGATAAAACTAGACAATAAGAAGTTTGGGCCACTGCTGGCAATGTAATTGGAAGTGCTCCAAATGTTTTCAGGTCCTATATGATAGAAACCCCTTCTGTTATTTTCTGTTATAATTGCTTCCATCTTCAGCATATATCAGGTACTCTTATTATAACCATAAACACCTAAAGTTGGAGCCAGATATTCATCACAGTCAGCTTGTTCACCAGCAGGACCTGATCTATTGCTTATTCAGAAAGGATAACCAAGCCTTCAGTTTGAACTAGAGGCTATGTGTAATAATGTTTTTTGTCTTCTTTAATAGATCGAAGTAATGTCTAAGGTATTTGTTACAAGTTTGGGTACTGTACACCAGTTTTTCTTGATTTAATTTTAAACGTACTTCTTGTTTTGATAGTGTTATGACAGTGGAAGTCATGCAACGCTGGAAACATGCACGCTGGAGTTTCTTGAAGGATCATGAATTTTCCCGGCAACTCTAGTCTGATCGAGATGCCCTCTTTTTCTTAGTATATAAGCTTGGCGAGAAAAACCAGTGGGATTGGGGAAATAGATAATTGAGTCAAGCAAACAGTATGCACCGTAACTAAAGTGTGTGAATCACTGTGATTTATAGCATGTGTTATAAAGGTTGTTAAGTAAAGTGACGAGAAAACGTATTGACTGTGGAAATTCTGTGTATCACAAAGTTTGTATAGAGGAAGAATAAACTGGGTTAATCAAGAAAGGACTTGTATCACTGAAGTTTCTCGGAAAGAATTTATACTGGAAATTAACAAACAAGCAAATACGCAACAATAGGCTCAAGCCCAAGTTATTAAAACTGTTTAAAGGTTTTTTCTTCATCATCTTTTTTGAAAGAAGGAAGATGCTATGATATATAACTTTGTTATTGTATAGCCCTCTATTAATTAGAAAAATCAAAGAATAACTAAGAGAGGGATATAAGATAGAGATGGAAATAAAAGGGTTGATATATTTCTATGTGTATTCAGTCTCACATATTAACAATCTGTGCATCATAATAAGTGGGATTTTCTCATGTGTCAGTGTGGTAGAACAGCCCTGAAGGACCAAAAGGTCCATTTTTGTCTTTATATCATGTTATGATGTTAGAATTATCTGAAACACCATCATATGTGTAATTATATTTGACAAATTAACTGTTCTTTAATCTACATATTAACATTTTCAATTTAAATGATGTATTATGAATGTTTTAATTACATTTATACTTCACAGTTTTCGTTTGAATCATGATGTTAGATTACCTGCAACTTAAGAGCCATACTTTTGATTTAATGGTATAGGATCAATTGTCTCATTTGTAGTGAGCTCTTCTCAGTTTTCTTACTTATCTGTTGTTGTTGTTTTTCACCTTAGAATTACTGATAGGGTAATACTAGCTTATAAAGTAGAGTATTTATGCATCAAACTGCTTGTGAGTTTACAACTTTTTGGTTACAGTGGCCCTAATAACAGTTGAATCTCAAAAAATATAAACAGAAGTACTGTCAATAATGCAATTAATAGCATTAATAACTTGCATGAATTATATCTAACATTCTCTTAACTTAAGCTGTTTTTAACAATTTAGCCTAGGAAAGGATTGAGTGATTTAAAATTTTTCACATAATCAATGCATAATTAGAAATTATACGGTGCCTAATTCCAAACTGTTGGTCTCGTTTTTTTCAACCATAAAAATAGGGGCCTTGTATTAATCAAATAAATAAAAAAAAGAAAAAACTTAAGAAGTTAACACGGCCACAGGGGTATACTGCATAGGTTATAGACCGTTTAATGCAAGATGATTTATTATACACTTAAGACACAAGAAAAACAATATTATGAAAAACTATTTCAAATCTATATGGTTTATTCTAAACGAAAAATCTGAAGTACTTACTCTGGAAGAAGAACCATTTAAAAAGCTACACCTTTTCTAATCACTTGTCTTCTGTTTTGTTTACTATACATTCATAGATCTCGCCACCTGTTGTCATACAGACATATACTATTGCTTAAAAAAATCAAATTACAGGAAAAAAGAAGCAATACAAATAATTTTGCATACTTTGTATTCGCTCAATATTAGTCTTTATTGCTTCAGATGTAACTGCATGCCGTAGAGTTACAAAAGTTTGGCGCTCTGAGAAGTATTGATTCTTAGAAGATTTATGAGGGTGAGAAGTGAGAGATTCGTTTCTGTATTAGTTTTTACTTCAACATGTTCCCATTGCATAGCCGTTTTTACAATACACTTTCAGCGTTGCTTAATTATACAAGTGTGTGTGTAGATGATATATTTTAGGTTATAACAAGATAAACCGTTATGAGTTATTGATAAGTAATTAAATTGATATTAAAACTCAATCTTGGCGCTTCTATTAAAGTTGTATACCTCTATCAGACACTTGTACCCAAAATGTTGAATGCTACTGTTACGTCTCTCTGTTCGTTTGTTAATTCTCCGCAGAAACCCCCTCCGAAAAACCTTAGCAATACAAGTCCTTCCTTAAATAAAACTAGTTTATTCTTTCTCAGTACAACTTTGCAATACACTTAATTCCCACAGTCAGTTAACTTAAACAAACGCTATAATTCACAACGAACGATTCACGCGCTTGACCCAATTGTCCGTCTCTATCTCTGTCTGCAATTCAATTCCATTGTTGCCGTCACTTCTTGGCGGTCTTATATACAAGAATACCGCACATCTAGTATATCATGACGTGTCACTAGCGTCACGTGACTTCCGCTGTCGTAACACTACTTTATCAGGAGCGTGCCCACCAGGTGGCATGGGAGCAAGGGTGCCCGCAGAAAAAAAATTAGGGGGCTCAATACCCCTGTAATCACAAATACCTTATGATTTTCCAATAACATGGAAGAATAATTTTACATATCTAGTAATTTTTTTTCTTTTTGAAAATCCAGAGGAGGTCAAGTGCCCCCTTGCCTCTTCCTGCGGGCGCCCATGTGTGGGAGCAAACCACCATAAAAAACCCCATCTGAAATATCAGGATTTAGACTTTAGTCGATATTATTCCCTCAAACTCAAGATGTGGCTGCGTAGAGCTACAAAAGTTTGGCGCTCTGAGAAGTGTTGATTCTAAGAAGATTTATGAGGGTGAGAGTTTGGTTTCTGTATTAGTTTTTACTTCAACATGTTCCCATTTCATAGCTGTTTTACAATACACTTTGCTACCTGACCATGCTGGCTTGTAAAGAGGTTGGGATTGTCTATATTATATAGTATTGTTACGTCTCCGTTTGTTAATTGATTTTTTCGTA